CCGGGGTCACCGTGACAAACGAGGGGAGGTCAGCACTGGCTGGACACGGAGGGTGGTCCTGTCCACAAGAGCACACAGCCCCTCAACTCCTCCAAAGTCTTCCTCACCACCACCCAGCTGGGAATTCTCTTATTTCACTGGATGGACTGGAAGTGGTTATGTTTGCGCTGAAGTACAAAACACTCGGTGAGTACAAAACTAAAGGAGGACTTCAAAGCATTGGAGATGGTCTGTGAAGTATTTATGGCAATAACTGCCCCAAAAGGGCTGGCACACCTCCGTGGGGTGGGATTTCCATGGATGATGGATGGATGGATGGATGGATGGATGGATGGATGGATGGATGGATGATGGATGGATGGATGGATGGATGGATGGATGATGGATGGATGATGGATGGATGGATGGATGGATGGATGGATGGATGGATGATGGATGGTGGATGGATGGATGGATGGATGGATGGATGGATGGATGGATGATGGATGGATGGATGGATGGATGGATGGATGGATGGATGGATGATGGATGGATGATGGATGGATGGATGGATGGATGGATGGATGGATGGATGGATGGATGATGGATGGATGATGGATGGATGGATGGATGGATGGATGATGGATGGATGATGGATGGATGGATGGATGGATGGATGGATGGATGGATGATGGATGGTGGATGGATGGATGATGGATGGATGGATGATGGATGATGGATGGATGGATGGATGGATGGATGGATGGATGGATGGATGGATGGATGATGGATGGATGATGGATGATGGATGGATGATGGATGATGGATGGATGGATGATGAATGGATGATGGATGGATGGATGGATGGATGGATGGATGGATGGATGGATGATGGATGGATGGGTGGATGGATGGATGGATGGATGATGGATGGATGGATGATGGATGAATGGATGGATGGATGATGAATGATGGATGGATGGATGGATGATGGATGGATGGATGGATGGATGGATGGATGGATGGATGATGGATGGATGATGGATGATGGATGGATGGATGGATGGATGGATGGATGGATGGATGATGGATGGATGGATGGATGATGGATGGATGGATGATGGATGGATGGATGGATGATGGATGGATGGATGGATGGATGGATGATGGATGGATGATGGATGGATGGATGGATGATGGATGGATGGATGGATGGATGGATGGATGGATGATGGATGATGGATGGATGATGGATGATGGATGGATGGATGGATGGATGGATGGATGGATGGATGGATGGATAGGTGGATGGATGGATGGATGGATGATGGATGGATGGATGATGGATGGATGGATGGATGATGGATGGATGGATGGATGGATGGATGGATGGATGGATGATGGATGGATGATGGATGGATGATGGATGGATGGATGGATGATGGATGGATGGATGGATGGATGGATGGATGGATGATGGATGGATGGATGGATGGATGGATGGATGGATGGATGGATGGATGGAAGTCTTGTCACATAAACAAGACATCTTGCCAGGCAAGGATGGTATGTGTTTTCCAAGCTGTGTTTGAAATCCTGCTCACAATCCAGCGTCGTTCACATCTGCCGTTTTAACACTCAGCAGGAAGGTTTGGGGGTTGAGCAACATCAGGTCAGAAGAGATGTGACCTTTGAGACAAATAACGCCACAACCTGCAATCCTTTGTGTTAGCAGAGCCCAGCCATTAGTGTAAGCATACTCCAGACACAAAACATGCTAAGAGAAAAAAAATCCACGTGCTTAAGACACCCTTCTTCGCCTCAGAGGATCTCAGAGGATTGTTCTGCCTGCCCAAAATGTAGAGACAGCAGCCAACACTTTATATGGAGTTTGGAGCTATGCACCAAAGCAGTACAGGATTTGAAAAATATAAAAGCTAAAACTCTAAGGAATCAGGGGGCCCTGGGGTGGAGGTCCCGCAGCCTCAGGCTCCGGATGCTCCACTGCTCTGCCTCCTGCCAGAGCAGGGAGATCATCAATCTGAGTGAGCTGTGCAGGGGAGCAGAGCTTGGAAGGGAAACAGGGAAAGGAATTGATTTCCCTGAGCCATCTCCAAAGCGCTGGACATCAAAGGCAGGGCCACATCCCATCAAAACCAGCCCTGGCAAACCCAGCCCTGGCAAACCCAGCCCTGGCAAACCCAGCCCTGACAAACCCAGCTCGGACAAACCCAGCTCTGACAAACCCAGCCCTGACAAACCCAGCTCTGACAAACCCAGCCCTGACAAACCCAGCTGTGGCAAACCCAGCTCTGACAAACCCAGCTGTGGCAAACCCAGCTGTGGCAAACCCAGCCCAGGCAAACCCAGCCCTGACAAACCCAGCCCTGACAAACCCAGCCCTGACAAACCCAGCTGTGGCAAACCCAGCTCTGACAAACCCAGCTGTGGCAAACCCAGCTGTGGCAAACCCAGCCCAGGCAAACCCAGCCCTGACAAACCCAGCTCTGACAAACCCAGCTGTGGCAAACCCAGCCCTGGCAAACCCAGCCCTGACAAACCCAGCCCTGACAAACCCAGCCCTGCAAACCCAGCCCTGACAATCCCAGCCCTGGCAAACCCAGCTCTGACAAAACCAGCCCTGACAAACCCAGCCCTGACAAACCCAGCCCTGACAAACCCAGCCCTAGAAAACCCAGCCCTGACAAACCCAGCTCTGACAAACCCAGCTCTGACAAACCCAGCTCTGGCAAACCCAGCCCTGGCAAACCCAGCTCTGACAAACCCAGCTCTGGCAAACCCAGCTCTGGCAAACCCAGCTGTGACAAACCCAGCCCTGACAAACCCAGCTGTGACAAACACAGCTGTGACAAACCCAGCTCTGGCAAACCCAGCTCTGGCAAACCCAGCTGTGACAAACCCAGCCCTGACAAACCCAGCTGTGACAAACCCAGCTGTGGCAAACCCAGCTCTGGCAAACCCAGCCTGGCAAACCCAGCCCTGGAACACCCAGCTGTGGCAAACCCAGCTCAGGCAAACCCAGCCCTGACAAACCCAGCCCTGACAAACCCAGCTCTGACAAACCCAGCCCTGACAAACCCAGCCCTGACAAACCCAGCTCTGATAAAACCAGCCCTGACAAACCCAGCCCTGACAAACCCAGCTCTGGCAAACCCAGCTCTGATAAAACCAGCCCTGACAAACCCATCCTTGCCACCGCCAGGGATCACCAACAGCTGACGCTATCTGCTGCTTACAGCTCTGCTCTGGACCAGCGTCCAGCTTTCTCTGCACACTCACGTGGGCTTTTTTGCACTGATCCTCCAGCCTCCCACCCCGTGAGGAATTGGAGATACTCATGGCATCTGCCAGAATTAAACACCAATATGAAGCTGCAGCCCTTGACAGCTCCTTCCACTGCACTGGCTGTCATTGAGGCAACAGAGGATTGCTTAGAAATAACAATAATTCCACAGCAGACACCAACAGATGACTCCTGACCTGACCCCACAGTCTTTGACAACACCGTTGTCCTTAAATCAGACTTTCTGTGTTCAGGTAGCCTGCCTTGTTTGCAGGGGTTTTCTCTGGGAGTTGCCTGATTTTAAAACAAACAAATCACACGTTTGAAAAGCCGGGAGCCTCTTTCTGAGCTGGGCCATAAATAATGAGTGAGGAAGGGCAGGCAGTGTGACAGGGACCCCGTGCTTGCTTCCTGCACCTTCATTCCTTTTCCCCAGGCTCTGTTTCTCCCCACATCCCAGGCTCATATCCAGAATAAATCAGCTCAGGATCATGAGATTGTCTTTTTGCCATCCTCTGCTGCTTTCCCTTCCCAGAGCAACGGGCAGGAGCCCATTAAGTGCAAAGCGCATTTAAACCTCGGCCCAGGCACAACAACAGATCCATGCAGAACCCCAGCTGCACCCATGGACACATTCAGCTCTAGAGAACAGATTCCATCTGATCTCACAGCACCAAAGAGTGGCTTTAACCAGAAGCCAGCTGCAGACCACGCCGTGGCTTTGCGTTCTCCCAGGAAAGCGCGGGCCCACGGGCTGACGGAGCCTCTGCCACGCTCCTCCACTGCTCAAGAGCTCCAGCCTGGAAGGCAACCTGCAATTTACATCTGCAGCTGTGCTCAGGATCCATTAGCACCAGGACTGTGTGTTACAGAGCCTTCTCAGCCATTATCCCTCCCTCCCTGCCTCCCACGCCGCCTGCCCGCTGTCAGCACTGCAGGCTGCCCCGGTCACTCATGTTTTTGTGGCTTCATGATACTGAGTGCCAAGCAGCGAAGAACTTCATGTGTCATTTGGATCCAGACCTCAGATGAAAGGATTTGGCTGAGCCTCAAAGACCCACTCCTCTTCCCCTATGTTAAATGAATGCAATTCAAACGAAATCGGGTTTTTAAGAAGCGAGGACAAAGCCCAGCAGAGTGGGTGTGGACATGCCAGGTCCCCTCTCCACGTGCTTCCAGCAGCTTGTGCTTTTTAACAGCAGCAGAGCAAGAAACACAGAGCTTAGTCATTTGAGTAAATCAAGCAAACACACGCCTCCCCACAGTCCACTGCTGAGACAGAACAAAATACCTGAGCGTGTGTTTGATATACACAGCATAAAGCAATGCAAGGCAGCTGAAGGGCACTCAAATCCTTCCCCTGCCCTCTTTGCAGAGCCCTGGGGACTCTGGCAGAGCTCAGTGCATGGGCTGTGCCCAGAAACCATGGAAGGCCAGGCTGGACAGGGCTCTGAGCAGCCCCTTCCAGTGGAAGGTGTCCCTGCTCCTTGCTGGGAGGTTGGGCTGAACGAGTTTTAAAGGTCCCTTCCCACCCAAACTGTGACTCCCTGGACACGTGTCGTGGCTTGGGGCAGAGCAGCCACTAGCAGTGACCACCCAGCAGGGCTCACAGCCGCCCAAAGAGGCTCCAGCTCCCCTGGAAGATCCCCCACGGCCCAGCCACATGACGCCACAAGCACCGTCTGACCCCTGTGCTGGCCAGCCGGGCACGGCCCACCTTGTGCGAGTAGTGCTGATCCACGATCCTGGCCAGGCCGAAGTCGCCGATCTTCAGCACCAGGTCCTCCGTGCTGATGAAGATGTTGGCCGGCTTGAGGTCGCGGTGCAGGACGTTGGCGGAGTGGATGTACTTGAGCCCGCGCAGCAGCTGGTACATGAAGAGCTTGGCGTGCTCCTCGGCCAGCTTGCCCTGCTCCAGCAGCCGCGCCAGGTCCGTCTCCATGTACTCCTGCACGATGTACACCATGTTGAACTTGAAGAAGTCCCCGCGCAGCTTGGCGCCCTTGGGGCCCAGCACCTCGTAGACCTTGACGATGTTCTCGTGGTCGAGGCGGCGGATGATCTTGATCTCGCGGAAGGCGTGCTTGACGCTGCGGGCGTCGCTCAACGTCAGCTTCTTCACGGCCACCTTGCGGCAGCTGCGGCTGTCCAGGGCCGACAGCACCAGCCCGTTGGCCCCGAAGCCCAGCGGGCGAAAGTTGACGAAGCGGCAGCCCAGGTCGTAGCCGTACATGCTGGCGATGCAGTCGCACTTCTCTGCCATCGCGCGCTCCGGCTCTCCCCGCTCCGCCGCCCTCGTCACTCGAAAAGTCGGGAATGTCCCAGGGCGTCCGGGTCAGAAACGCGGCTGGAAATGAAGCCCCTCATTGTTACTCACAGGTGCCTGGGGAGGGGTCTCGCTCTCAGCCCATCACTTCGAGGTGACACAGCGTGAAAATAAATCTGAGGATACACACACACACAGAGAAATGAAATGTTTTAAACGGACTTTCCGAGCAGCACAGAGAAACACAGCCCCGAGATCTCTATCAAAGTAAAAGGGTTTGTTTTCTTGGGGTTAAAAAATCCTGCACCGGTGGGAAAGGAAGGGAAGGGAAGGGAAGGGAAGGGAAGGGAAGGGAAGGGAAGGGAAGGGAAGGGAAGGGAAGGGAAGGGAAGGGAAGGGAAGGGAAGGGAAGGGAAGGGAAGGGAAGGGAAGGGAAGGAAGGGAAGGGAAGGGAAGGGAAGGGAAGGGAAGGGAAGGGAAGGGAAGGGAAGGGAAGGGAAGGGAAGGGAAGGGAAGGGAAGGGAAGGGAAGGGAAGGGAAGGGAAGGGAAGGGAAGGGAAGGGAAGGGAAGGGAAGGGAAGGGAAGGGAAGGGAAGGGAAGGGAAGGGAAGGGAAGGGAAGGGAAGGGAAGGGAAGGGAAGGGAAGGGAAGGGAAGGGAAGGGAAGGGAAGGGAAGGGAAGGGAAGGGAAGGGAAGGGAAGGGAAGGGAAGGGAGGAGAAGGAGAAGGAAGGAGAAGGAGAAGGAAAAGAGAAGGAGAAGGAAAAGAGAAGGAGAAGGAGAAGGAGAAGGAGAAGGAGAAGGAGAAGGAGAAGGAGAAGGAGAAGGAGAAGGAGAAGGAGAAGGAGAAGGAGAAGGAGAAGGAGAAGGAGAAGGAGAAGGAGAAGGAGAAGGAGAAGGAGAAGGAGAAGGAGAAGGAGAAGGAGAAGGAGAAGGAGAAGGAGAAGGAGAAGGAGAAGGAGAAGGAGAAGGAGAAGGAGAAGGAGAAGGAGAAGGAGAAGGAGAAGGAGAAGGAGAAGGAGAAGGAGGAGGAGAAGGAGGAGGAGGAGGAGGAGGAGAAGGAGAAGGAGAAGGAGAAGGAGAAGGAGGAGGAGAAGGAGGAGGAGGAGGAGGAGGAGGAGGAGGAGGAGGAGGAGGAGGAGAAGAGAAGGAGAAGGAGAAGGAGAAGGAGAAGGAGAAGGAGAAGGAGAAGGAGAAGGAGAAGGAGAAGGAGAAGGAGAAGGAGAAGGAGAAGGAGAAGGAGAAGGAGAAGGAGAAGGAAGCCAGAACACGCTCAAATCCCTCCAACTTGTCCCCTTGAACCCCATTGGAAACCCCCCAAAATTCTGCTTTTCCACCCTGTGTTAATTCAACCACCACACCACTCATTCCCTGCCAATGTACCAGCTCGATGTAGGCTGACCATGAGCAAAGCCGTGACCTTTCAGGGGATCATCAGTTATCCTCTCCCAAGGCACACAGCACCACCAGCATTTTTCAGCTGCTTAATTTTCCCTTTTCCATTTGTAAGATGCAGAGAGTTGTAACTCTTCCTTTCCCCTTTCTCCTCCCCGATGGTCAGCACAGGGTTCTGACTGCACCACGTCTCCCTGCAGCTTTTGTGAGTCCAGAGGAGCGAGGACGCCTCTCCTGCCTGAGCCTGGCCCCGTCCTGCTCCCAGACACCCCTGATGTCTTGCTGCACCCAGTGTCTGCCCTTGTGACACCCTCTGAGCGTCCTTCCAGGCTGGGGGGACCTGTGGGACCACCCGGCTGCACAGGGGCGGTGATCCTGCACAGGGAGGTCCCAGGTTACCCACTGGGCTCAGGGCTGCCCAGAGGAGGAACGCTGTAATAAAATAAAATAAAATAAAATAAAATAAAATAAAATAAAATAAAATAAAATAAAATAAAATAAAATAAAATAAAATAAAATAAAATAAAATAAAATAAAATAAAATAAAATAAAATAAAATAAAATAAAATAAAATGAAATAAAATAAGATAAAATAAAATAAAATAAAATAAAATAAAATAAAATAAAATAAAATAAAATAAAATAAAATAAAATAAAATAAAGAAATTAAAATTTTTTAATGAAATAAAATAATTAAAATAAAATTTAAAAATTAAAATTAAATTAAATGAAATAATTAAAATAAAATACAAAAATTAAAATAAAATGAAATAAAATGAAATGAAATGAAATGAAATGAAATGAAATAAAATAAAACTAATTAAAATTTTTAAAATAAATAAAAAAATTAAAATAAAATTAAATGAAAGAATTAAAATAAAATTTAAAAATTAAATTAAAATAAAATAAAATAAATTAAAATAAAATAAAATAAAATAAAATAAAATAAAATAAAATAAAATAAAATAAAATAAAATAAAATAAAAGTAATTAAAATTTTTAAATTAAATTAAAAAATTAAAATAAAATAAAAACATTAAAATGAAATGAAATGAAATGAAATGAAATATTTTAAATAAAATAAGAATTAAAATAAAATAAAATAAAAGTAATTAAATTTTAAAAAATTAAATAAAATAATTTTTAAAAACCAAAATAATTAAAATAAAATGAAATAAAAAACAATAAAGTAATAAAAAATAAAATAAAATAAAATAAAACAACTATGGATCTGCTCCTGTTGTGTTCTTCATGCCGGAAAGGATGGCTCTCTTAGAACCCCTGACCACCAGAGCTGCTCCATTAACCTGGCAGAGGGTTCTCAGCCTGTCCTGTGCCCTGCGCTCCCCAGGCAGTGCTGCTGGGACCCTCCTGCTCCCTGGCAGAAGTTACCAGGAATAACAAATGAGCAGAGAAAGCGTTTAGCGCTGAGCCATCACCCCTGGCTGAGGGCATGGAATGAAGGCGCATCTGAGGCTGGCAGGACGTAGGCAGGGCAGGGATACCCTCTGAGGAGCCTCTGCCAGCAGCCACCGAGCCGTTTGGCAAGCGCTGCCTGCTCCTCCAGTCGGGAAGCAAAAATAATTACAGCCTCTCTTCAATCCAGCAATTATCTCCAGTGCTGGCGTTGGCAGGCGAGGGATGCACAGAGAAAGCTGCTGGTGCTCTCGGGGAGTGGGGCAGGCACCAGAGAGGCAAAGCTGGGGCGCAAAACCAGATGGGGAGCAATGTGTGTCGGAATCTGCAGGTATCGATGATTCTGAGATTGTAGAAAGTCTCTGTCTGTCAGCCCCACTGCCAAAGAAACAGCCATAATTGGTCTGTGCTGTTTCAAGGTTGTTTATTCTGTTTATCTCTAACATGTTCTGCTGCCCTGCCGCAGCTCTGTCCTGCAGGGCAGCGTGTGGGGCTCTGCCCTCAGTGGGATGGTACAAACATTAAATACCAGAAACTACCTGTGCTGGATTTACAATAACGTGCCAATGTAACATTATATACCAGAAACTATCTGTGCTATATTTACAATAACGTGCCAATGTAATACCCCTCAGTGGGATGTTACAAACATTATATATTAAATACTGCCTGTGCTATATTTACAATAACATGCCAATATAACATCCCTCATTGGGATGTTACACACATTAAATACCAGAAACTATCTGTGCTATATTTACAATAATGTGCCAATGTAACACCCCTCAGTGGGATGTTACAAACATTATATATTAAAAACTATGTGTGCTATATTTACAATAATGCGCCAATGTAACATCCCTCAGTGGGATGTTACAAACATTAAATACCAGAAACTACCTGTGCTGGATTTACAATAACGTGCCAATATCTGTCACCTGCATTGGACAGTGTGTCCCCAGCCTGAACCAACAGAAAAATGCCAACACCACAGTGAAACATGGAGGGCATGAAGAAGGAGAAAAAGGACAAGGCACACCCAATTTCCTCCATCTTGTCCCCTTTGAACCCCTTATCCAGAATCCTAAAATTTTACTTTTGCACCCGTGCCACACTTAATTATTACTGATATCACACACTCAGAGCTTGTAATTCATCCTGTAAGATTGAAAACTCTTTTCCATGGACAGAGATCACAGACAGTGTCTCTGGGGGCTCTGTCCAGGGGGGTTCTGACCCCTGCCAGGGTCCCGGGGCAGCCAGAGGGAAGCCCTGGGCTCCCACAAATGAGCTTCAACACGGTGCCTTTGGGACCCATCTCCACACGCCGAGGTGGCCTCAGCAGCCAGCCCAGCACGCTGCTCGGCTCTCTGCAGCTCTGCCCTCCTGGGCTGGGGGACAGGGTGGTCCTGGAGGCCCTTCCAAGCACACCCTGTCAGCAGAGCCCCACGGGGCAGGACACAGCGTGAGCTCCCACGCCGAGCTGCTTCGCTCAGCCCAGAAAGAAACCGAGTTCTGCCTCGTCAGCCCAATTATTAATAATTAGTAGAGCTCTAGGAGCACTGAAAGGGAAAGTGCAACACATGAGGGGAAGAAAAGGGAAGAAAGAGCCCTGTTTTTCCTCACAAGCAGAACGATGGCTGTGTGTCGCACCCACAGCTGAGCCAGGGCCCTGCTGCAGCTTCTGCAGGCAGAGGGGCCGAGGCAGAACAGCCCTAAAGGATGGTCCTGGAGCCCAGCACGTCACAGCCCCGTCCTCATGTGGCTGTGTCTCTTGTTGAACATCCAGGGAAAAGCCGCTGGCAAACACAGGGAACTGCTCCACGGCCAAGGGACCAGCAATCAGCATCCCATGGGAGTGGGAGAGAGGCAGGGCAAGGGAAGGGATTCTGCCCCTCTGCCCCTGTGCTCTGCTCAGAGCCCACTGCAGAGCTGCCCCAGCCCTGGCTCCAGCAGCACAAGGACGTGGAGCTGCTGGAGCCAGCCCAGAGGAGGCCACGGAGCTGCTGCCAGGGCTGGAGCCCCTCTGCTCTGGAGCCAGCCTGGCAGAGCTGGGGCTGTTCCCCTGCACAAGAGAAGCTCCAGGGAGAGCTCAGAGCCCCTGCCAGGGCCTCAAGGGGCTCCAGGAGAGCTGCAGAGGGACTGGGGACAAGGCAGGCAGGGACAGCACACAGGGAATGGCTCCCACTGCCAGAGGGCAGGGACAGATGGGATATTGGGAATTAGGAATTGCTGGCTGGGAGGGGGGGCAGGCCCTGGCACAGGGTGCCCAGAGCAGCTGTGGCTGTCCCTGGATCCCTGGAAGTGTCCCAGGCCAGGGTGGACGGGGCTTGGAGCAGCCTGGGACAGTGGAAGGTGTCCCTGCAC